GTTGTCAGGTAGCCATGATACCAGAGCCTGTCTGTATAATGTCTTGTGACGTCCACGGCCTACCCCAGTTACCACTACTGTGCATGTGTGTCAAGGACAGAAAGACAGATGTGGCAGTGGAAGGTGTCAAAGCAGTTTGGAGAGAAAAACAAAGTAAAGAACAAAAACAAAAAAACAACTAATATTATTATATTAGTCACTATTAGTCATCGACTAATCGTGGCAGCCCTACCAAGACGTGACTTGTTACACTGTACTTACTGGGTACATACCCAGTACCTACAGAGTGTGTACATTACCTGGTACTTAACAGATATTTTACCTTGTGCATTCCCTGTAAGTTCCATGTAACTAATTGCTGCACAATTCAACCTAGTCCTGAATGTATCATGCACATATACACACTGTAAGTAGTACTACCCCAATTTCAATGTAGTTGGGATGTTGTGTAAAACGTAAATGAAAACAGAGATTAAATTGAATACACTACAAAGAGAAGATATGTTCAGATAAATGTTATTGGCTTTTTGCAAATTTTCACTCATTCTGAATTTGATGCCTGCAACATGTTACAAAAAAGCTGAGACGGGCAAATTTTTTGGAACGTGTTGCAGGCATCAAATTTGAAATGCATTTAATGTATTTATTTGCAAAAAAACAAAGTTTATGCATTTGAACATTGAGTATCTTGTCTTTGTAGTGTATTCACTTGAAAATAGGTTAAAGAATTTGCAAATCATCATATTCTATATTTATGTTTTACACAACGACCCAACTTCGTAGAAACTGGGCCTGTACCAGTTATATACTGTACCCTGTAAGTACAGTGTACATGTTGTGTCCTGTAAGTATTACAATAGGTGCACATCATACCCTGTAAGTACATGTCACACATTGTACCCTATAGGTACCAGGTTGTATTAGATTTTGCTACCAAACACATTAGATACAAGGACACAAAATGAGTGCAAAAGCAGCTTAATGTGATCGACACACAAGAGGCGATGTCGCTCCCTCTCCATTCATTTCCTGTGGAACTTGTGCATTGAGGCGACAATTGCTTGGCCTCCTCCAGCAAAGCAACCAGCAAAATTCATTCATGTGGAATTTAGAGTTCGTACTTGTAGACGTGCATTTACAGACTTTCAATGCAACACAAGAAAAATGTTGAGCTTTTGTTCCTGGTGCTACAATCAATGAGGCTTTCATTCACTGAGCAATGAGCAGAGAATATGTGCCATTCACTAATAAAATCTACAAGAAGAACCAATCAAATTTCTTGGATACAAACGACCCAAAAGCACGATTTGCAATGCTGCCGTTGCTTTCAGGTTTCACCCCAGCTGTGAAGACTTCCTCCTATCACTACTGTTTGTCGCTCCATGTCAGAGATGGGGACTCATGGCTTGGACTTGGACTTGAGTTGCACTTAAGGCCCTACTATTTGAGACTTAGACTTGACTTGGACCCTAAAGACCTGAGACCTGACTTGGACTTGTGGTTTGAGACTTGCGAACAATGCAAGTCTTTTCACTGCCCGGCTCACGATTCTCACTCCCTCAATACACATCCATGCTCCGCTCCTTTGAGAACAAATACTTAAAGTTTTAAGAGCAAAGAAATTTACACCTGCTCTCAAATTGGAAAATATACACTCTTGATTAAAGTCATAATTCTTCTAAACACCCCGCTCCCTCTCACCTGAGAATGGGAGGGGCCAGCGCTGTCCAATGTTAATGAGGCGTACCCTACATGACAAACAGAGCTTCAGCATGGCAGGTGTGTTGCAGTAGCTCTGCTGCCATTCATTATAAGCTTTGCTTACAGAGACTTTATTCAACGCCATGACAAGAGACTGGCAAAATTAAATGTGTGTGGAGTCTAAATCCAAAATTTGTTTTTGTGATGACTTGTGCAGCCGTTTTACTTTAAGGATTCTGGTCCATCATCTTCACTGACCTGCTTTTATCCATTTAAAAATATTTTTTCTTGTATTTTATTATAAAATCAGCAGCAGACTTGTTGGATTTGTTCTTTTACAATGGCAAGATATACAGTAATTACAGTAAGACTACAAGTGCAAAATACACATAACAATATTTTAAATGCTTGATTGTTATTTCAACCTTAACCTTATCTGTATTTTTAAAACAGTATTATTTTTTATCAGTATTATTGAAACTATGTTAAATAATATGTTTTAATATTTGATTAAAATATAGTATCATAGAATATAATCTAGTATAGTTAGAATATATTTGATCAATCTGCCAGTTAAGCGATACATGCAATGAGACTTGGACTTGAGGTCAAGAGACTTGAGACTTGACTTGGATTTTTGGTGAAAGATTTGGACTTGACTTGGACTTGCAAAAAAAGACTTGCGCACATCTCTGCTCCACGTGTGTCGATCCCTTAAGTCTAAAGGAAGAAAATGTAAAATGAGCAAAAACTATGACAACTATTGATCATGTTACATTTTACAGTAAAGTTATGAAACTTTGAAGGAAAGTCCAAAGAAATGAAGGATGGTTCAACACTTTTGCACAGAAACATAAAGTCTGTAATTTAACTGTGATTTTGAAATGTTTAAAAAGGAAACTGAGTTTGTGTTTAGTATTTATAGTCATAGAAACATGACTGTTTCATCTGATTACAAACTGAAAGTCTTCTTTCTAAATCTACATAAACATCTAATACATCTAAAAGGCTTGATTTGACCTGAAAACAACAATTTGAAACCTAAAAACTAGAGATCGATTCAGCAAAGCTCTGCAACCTCCTCCTTTCTGTCTCAACGTCTTCCTTCAGATAATTATTTCCACCTGAGGGAACAGCTCGTCTCAGTCTGACAGCTTAACCTTTCCGCTTGTCGTGCTCTCTCTGTACCGTGTTCTCTGCCGTTCCCTCTGCAGCTGATGAGCGCCGTGAAGAAGGGACAAGTGTCCGACAGCCGCCTGGCCATCCTCATGAAAACAGCCGAGGAGACTCTGGACATGAGAGGCCCGGTGACCGTGGACCGGAGCGGGGGCGGAGTCTAAGCCTGATGGAAACCCATCGGCAGTGTAAAAGGTGGTGACGATGACTGAATAGGTGAGACAAATGCAAATGGGACTATTTGAATGACAATAATGCAATCAGGGATGCAAGCAGGATGAATTCGGCCGAATCAAGCCGCACTCCTCCGTGTGTTTTGGGTGAAATCATATCTAATGACTGAAGTCGGAGAAAATGTTTGTCTGCCGTCGACGTCTCATGCCTCTGAAAACACTGAATGTTTTATATCATCCTTTAAATCATGACATTATCTTTAGAAACACTCCTTTGTGTGATCAACACTGATTGTTGTATCAACACAATCATTGAGCTTCATTTTATGCAACCAGTTCTCTAAATACCTGAATATTTCTACAAAAACAACATAATTCTTAGACGTTTCAGCTGTTTTTTTAACACATAAAATGAAAGGTTTAAAACTGCTACTTAAACATGACTTATATTTAGTTACATTTCAGATATCCCTTATAAAATATTAAAATATATGAAATAAAAGTGCCAATTCAGGAGATAAAAAAGATACATATATTTGAATAGGTTTGAAGTATATTTTCAGAACCTGTTTTTAATTTTGAGATTCAGTTAGAAAATGTGCATAACATATTGTTAAATGTTAACTCTTGCTCTTAAAGTAACTCCCTTAGTTTACTCTCTTATTGGCCGTGGCTGACAAACTGCAAACATCATCTGCAAAAGTGTTTTTTTTTTTTATGTTTCTGAATGTTCTTGGGCGTTCTTATTTTCATTGCTTTAGTGCCACAGGAATTTTGAACATTTTTAAAGAATTTTCTCTAAAAATAGCTGCAAAATTGACAGGTATGTCTCAAACTTGTCTAAACTCTTGTCTGTCTGCACTAAAACACAGTTCTCATTTCTAAAAATGTTCCCATAAACACGACTCCATCCATCTGAAAATAACCCAAACCTTTGTAGTAACTATGCCAGGCCAGTGTGTGGCACTGTAACGCTGCCACAAGAAAAACAGCAAAAACCAAAGGAGCAAAAAGCATACATGCTGGGTTGTAGGTTGGAGTAAAGCTGGGCCTAATGGCATCGTTTTCAAAACTTTGCATGTTATTTCACTCTTTTCAGAAATACCCTTTTAGGGCTCTTTTTGTGTAAAAACAGGACTGAAACGACATAAAATCTTTGCACATTTACAAAATACCATTTTTATATCGATGGCTCCTTATACCATTTTTCCATTGTCCAGATTCAATACGATCTCTGTGGTTTTTGTTAATCCCAAATGTTTCCCTGCAAAATAAATGCATGCAATTCATTCCTTAGACCTCCCTAAGACATAATATTTATGAATTTTTTCCATTTTATGTTGATTGTGTTTGTGAAAATGTAGGTTTTGTACTCAGCAACAATTGTTGCCGGTGGGAAACAGCGCAGTCTAAACCAGGGGTTCCCAAACTCTTCAGCCTTTGACCCTCAAAATACCAGCAGCAGAGACCTGAGCCCCCAACTGTTGTTGGATCATAAACATTGTTTTCATGTCATAAAAATAGGAGCATATTAACAATATTCATTGTTGTGGAAATATTCACTAAGGCAGAAACACGTGAATAAAGGAAGGTGCACTGCGTGGTTTGGTTCCATAACAGCTATTTTTGTCCATTTTAAGTACACTAACCTTAATCTTTTGTAAGAACAAAGGCAAAAAAATTGTTATTTTCTAACATAATTAATTCAGAAAACCTTTTCAGGACCCCACCTTGATGTTTTGGGACCCCATTGTGGGTCCCGACCCCAACTTTGGGAACCACTGGTCTAAACTGACACAAATCCTTCATTCTAACCTATTACATACATGAAAAATATAAATAACATTAACATGCGTAACATGTTACAACAAGGCATGGGTACAAGTTTAACAGTAGGAATGACTGTGATGTAGCACAGTGTTTCGCCACGGAGCATTATAGGGTCCTCAGAAAGCTGGAGGGGATGATAAGGGGAAAAAAGGCAAAAACCTAAGATTTAAATCTAATGAATATTTTAAAATATTATCATGAAATTGAATCAGTTTTTCAATAATTTTTTGAAAATATAATTTATAAAAATATATTGAAATGCTATTTAGAAGAGCAGTTTGATTACTTTTGTTCTGTTCTTATTGTCAACAGCTGGTTTGCATAGGGGGTCCCCAGCCAAACGCTTGTGCTGTTTGGGGGGGCTATAGCATGGAAAAGTTTGGGACCCCCTGATGTAACACACATCATTTTGGGGTTCTTTCAGTTCTAAAAGATCTGATGGTTTTAAGCTGAATGGTAAAAAACCCTATAAGATAAATAAACAGTCAAACCTTTGACAGCTAGCATAGCTCTGTCTGTGTGTTAAACTAGTGGCAACAATTGTTGCCATGCTTACATTCACTCTCCTTACGATCAAAAGATGCATGCAAGCATAAAATTCTCAATATATCTCAGTAGAAGACTCTTTAAAGAATATATGTACAAAATATTTAAATTCTTATGTGTTTATTAAGATATTTTATTCACTCCATTTTGTACCAATTTGAGGTACACTTTTCCCTCCGGCAGGGCAGGCAGGAAGTCAAGGGGTGTGGTCATGTGACCAGTCACACAACATGAAACTGATATGACTAAGAGTAGACAGCCTATTATACTGTTGTAAAACTTAAACTTAAATGCCCAAAGCCAAAATAACACTTTAGAGCTTCCAGAAGTAAAACAAAATGTCTGGCAACAATTGTTGCCGGTGGGATTAAACGGGTTTGCATCACCCTGATGTGTGTGGGATCATCAAAGCACGATCAAACTTCTGCAGTCTTGTTTTCTATCCAAGGTGAACCCAACACAGAAATGAGCAAACAAGTGAGATACAGTGACAAAACACTCATCATCATCATCTGAGATGTTTCCAAGATTTCTGTAGCCAAGTTGAGGTTACATCCTTCTACTAATTGGAGCTCCATAATTGTCCATTTGGTCTAGCTCCCTCTGAATTCTGTCATCAGCAAACAACCCTTCATAGTACAGCAGTGTTGGTTCAGGTGTTGCCATTTTAATGGACATATACATATATGCATACATACATACATACATATATATATACAGTGGTTTGCAAAAGTATTTATACCCCTTGAACTTTTCCATATTTTGTCACATTACAACCACAAACATAAATATATTTCACTGGAATTTAATGTGAAAGACCAACACAAAGT